AAAATAAATTTCCTTTCAAGTGCTCCAAAGCAAATAACTTTATTTTCTTTAACTGTATAGTTTCATTTCCTCCTCTAGTCATCCCTAATAACTACACAGTGTTCTTTTGTTTCCAGTTAAACTTGGAAATAGGATACTTCCAGTGCTTCATTTACTCAACAAAAAGCTGTTTATTACCTACTTAATACAAATTATTTTGCAACCCATCCTGTATAATGTAATTAACTATAATATAGGCAATCCTTTTTTTTTTTTTTTGTGGGACCCTCGGCGGCGGCCGGGGAACAAACTGGCGCTGCAGAGGCTGCAAGCAGCCTCGAAGCCCAGCATTCAACCTCTGCGCCACCAGGGGAGGCCCCATAGGCAATCCTTTTGAGGCATTTATAGCTTATACTCTGTTGTAGTTGGTTTTAGTACGTAGACATCATGATCATACAGATAGTCTTCCAAAGATATCTAAGAACTAATCTTGTTTTTTACACTCTTTCTTGTACTATGCTTATTTATATATAACTTGTCTACCTGTGTGAGTTTTGTTATATAATTCTTTTTTTTTTTTTTTTAAAGATTTATTTATTTATTTATACAAGCACTGGGTACAGTCAGAAGTGCAGGAGGGTGAGAGCATTCACCAGAGTCGGAGCGGGCAACAGAACAGGCAGACTAACAAAGAAATATACTGCTGAGGGGAGCAGCAGGCACGGCAGGAGAAGTCTGCACGCCATGTGGGAACCTCGCCAGTGGCCAGGGATCAAACCGGCACTGCAGAGGCTGCGGGCAGCTTCGCAGCCCAGCGCTCAACCACTACGCCACCAGGGGAGGCCCTGTTATATAATTCTTTTAAGCTTGTTTACTTAATGTTTAATAAGATAATGGTTAAAAAAGAACAACCCACAACCAAGAATATATCTACATATTTAATGTGAGTGTTGAGTTGATTTTGAGCTTGACAATCCAAAACTTAAGGTATATTTAAGGTTCAGTACCTGACAAATTTTGATAGTTATTCTTTTTTTTTAGATTTATTTATTTATGCATACAGGAGCTAGGGTACAAGCCAGAGGCGTGGGCGGTGAAAGGATTCACCAGAGACAGAGTAGGGAACAGAACAGGCAGATTGACCAAAGTACACTGCTGAGGGGAGCAGTGGGAGAATCAGGAGAGGTCTGCTGCGCCATGTGGGTAGCTCCCTGGCTGGCCGAGAATCGAACTAATGCTAAGTGGCTGTGGATATCTTCATAGGTTGTGTCTTAACCTTGCACCACCAGGGAGGCCTGATGGTTATTCTTTATTGGTATTGCTGCATGATACTATTTTTGGGATATTATTCTAAACTCATGTATTTTTTAATATTTAAGGTAATATAAATATTCTGTTAATGTGGAGTCTGATGGGCATTAATGTCTTTTGTAATAGAGAGTAGGTCTTCATATTATTGGATTAAATTTCACTATAAACACAAAAGACCGGTTTCATTTTACCTTTGTAAAGGAAATCTTGAGACTCACAACTTAAGTCATTTAACAAGCTAGTGAGAACCTACAATCTGAATACCTTTGAAAAGTCAGCCTTGAGGTGGGGGGAAGCAAATATTGTTTAAAAATGAACAATGATGTAAAAAATTAAAAAAAATAATTAACAAAAAATTTTAAAAAAGAAAAGTCACCTTTTACAAAACTTTTCAAACTTAAAAATAATTCATAGAATTATTAGGGCTAATAATTATTAGGGCTAACTTTTTTGCTCATTTTTATTATCTAAATCATATATCATTGCTAGTGTTTTTCTAAATGTACAGCTATATTCTTATCAATACGAAACTCCACCAGGAATATTTCCAACTTTAATTTATATAGGTTTTTGGAACTCTGTTATTATTATATTTTTTCATTCTACTCATTCCCTTAAGAGGATATAATGTTTATCCAGTAAGATGACTAGGGAACACAAAAAATTATTTGGCCTAAGATGTCAGTGATGCCAGTGACATGAAACTGAAATGTCAGTTTGACGTTGTAAAACTCTGCTCTAGGATTTACATTGTACATCTTTTATTTATTACAATGTACCTTCACCTACACCTTTTCATGTGTGATGTAACCTTACAACAGTATACTTTGATTTTCCTCCCACCCATCCATCCTTTGTGTTTTAGTGTTTACATGTGTTTTAGTATTTACATGTGGGAATTCTTTGAAGGCATTGTTTTAGAAAGTTAATGTTTGTCCAGATACTAAGAAAAACTAATTGAGAAACTGGGAAGATAGAGAAAGTGTAATTCCATGAGAACTAAATCTTAATGATCAACATGGAGATCTTAGTGGTTCATGGAATCAACTGATATCAAGTAAAAAGCAGGAAATGATGACATGTGAAGTTGAAAGTTAAGGTTGACATTTCCTGGAACTAAGGAGGGAAGTGGTCATATCTAATCAGTTGGTCTTGCTTATGACTGTTGCCATGTGTTTTGTAGCCCTGTCTACAGTGAGAGTTCTTCTTAAAAAATACATACAATACTATGATAATGTACATGATATACTTTATACAAATTCTGTAAGTAATATATGGGGAAATAAGAAATATGACAGTCCCGCCTTACCTTCAGGGGATATGTTCCAAGACCCCCAGTGGATGCCTGAAAGTACAGCTAGTACTATACCCTATATATTCTTCATTTGTTAATATAAATACAGGTATGTCTATGATAGTTTAGTTTATAAATTAAGCCCAGCCTTTTCCATGCAACCTAGAGAGGGGTCCATACTGCATTGTTCCAGATTTCCATAGTAAGTTAAAGGGAAACTTTCACAATGTCCAGAGCCCTTGATGTCCTGCAAATGAAGGAAGAGGATGTCCTCATATTCCTTTTAGTAGGAACCCAATGTGGCACCAACCTTGACTTCCAAATAGAACAATACATTTACAAATAGAAAAGTGATGGCATCTACCTCATAATATTTGAAGAGTCTGGAGGAAACCCTGTGGCAGCTTCTAGCATTGTTGCCATTGAAAACCTGGCTGTTGTCAGTGTCATATCCTCCAGAAATACTGGCTGGTAAGCTGTGCTGAGGTTTGCTGCTGGCACTGGAGGACTGCTCTTCCCTACTTCACTCCTGATACCTTCACTGTAACTAAATTCAGACAGCTTTCCAAGAACCAAGACTTACAGTGGTTACTGATCCCAGAGCTGACCACCGGCCTTTCACAGAGGCATCTTATGTTAACCTGCCTACCATTGCTATGTGTAACACAGACTCTCCTATGTGCTATGTGGACATTGCCATCCCCTGCAATAACAAAGGAATTCACTCAGTGGATCTCATTTGCTGGGTACAGCTGGGAATTTCTATACATGTGTGGTGCCATCTCCCAAAAATACCTATGGTGGGTCATGCCTAATCCCTGCTTCTACAGAGATCCTGAAGAAACTGAAAAGTAAGAGCAGGTTGCTACTTAAAAAGGCCATGACCAAGGAGTAATTTCAGGCTTAATGGATTCCTCTAGCTCCTGAGTTTACTGCTACTCTACCTGAGGTTGCAGGTTTAATCTAAAGGCATGCAAGTGTACTCTGGGCCCACCCAGTAGTTCCCTAGTAAAGACTGGAGTGCATAGCCTGCCACTGAAGACTGGGCTGCAGCTCCCATGGCTCAGGACTCTGAATGGATAGGACCAACCACTGAGTAGTCTTTAAGCTGTTCTTCCACAGACTCTTAAACAGAAAAGGGAGATAAGGTTAATGGAAAATGATTTCTAAACATTGAAAAAAAAATTTAATGGGCACTGTAAGAGATTAACAAAAACTAGTAACAAAATGTGTATTGTAACAATATACAATAATAAAAGTTATGTGGCCTCTCTGCCTCAGAAGATCTTAATTGTGTATATATTTTTGAACCATGGGTGACTAACATTGCAGAAAGTGGAACCATGGGTAACGGGGTGGGGGTGGGAGGATACCATATTGGTAGCATGTAGTTTTCAAGAACTCTTTTTCCTTTTGTGGTATACACATTATTTTCTAGGTTCTGTTAGTTCTCCATTATTTATAATCATATGACATCACGCTTCTTTCCTAGTGATTGAACTTCGGTTTTATTACCTGGTGTGGCAGTTGCTGCTGCTGCTATTCCTAAGCAAGCCATATAGAACTCCCTATCTGGGGAGGGAGGAGCAAAAAAAAAAAAAACCTTGTATCTTATCTACCAATTTTAAGGGAGAGATGTTTTACTTGTTTAATTAGTTCTTGCTATGGAAAATAGTCAAAATTTTAAGAATATCTACACTTCAGGTTACAATCTCTTCTGTTTCATAGTTTTACTACTAAGGTAGGAGTCTATGATCAAATCCTAGTTTCTGCCAGCTGCTATCTAGATCCTTTAGGAATGATAATGACCTTAATAATTGAACATACATGTATATGTAGGTATCTGATTTTCATTATCTTCATATATATATATATATATATATATATATAGGTATAGATATAGTATCTATGAGAAATGCACATCCTTTCCATCGTAACACATAATACATCTAAGTAAGCACTTGAGCTGTTGAACCAAATAGAATTTGTAATTTCAATTTGTCACTTTGCTACTTTGGCAAGTTTTAACTTTTTGAACCTCATATTCCTCATCAACATTAAAATAATAACAGTAGCAACTCAGTTTTGGGGAAGTTGAGAACAATATGATTAATATGCATGTAAAAGTTAAGTCTAAACAGTGCTGGACATATTAGCAGCATGCAGGAAATATTAGCCATTTTTATTATAATCACTGACCTATATAGAATGCAGTCCATAATTCTGGAGTAGTTATCTAGCTACTTCTTGAATTCCTTCCTTAGATGATATTCAGCATAACTTATTACCATTGGATAGTTTCACCTCTGAATATAATCCTGTTGCTTTATCACTATAGTAAGCTGAAATGTTTGTCTTCTCCTTGACAGTTCTGCTGAGATTCTCATGTAACTACACACTATTTGTTTTGCTTTAGGTCAGAGATGCGTGAGAGTGGAAGACATGGCAGAGAACTTGAAGAACATTTCTGCTTTTTAGCACTTCCTCAAAGTGATGTGACTGACATATATCGGAATGGGATATGTACCAAAGCATCTTCATTGAAGATTTTAGGAAATCCCCTTCTCGGAATTTATGTATTTAGACATGTTGATGTTGCCTTGAATTATGCTCATAGTAGAAGCATTACTGTAGAGAGTATAATAATTTTTAAGGTAGGTAGCATAGAATAAATATTATACTCAGCTTGCCTTAAAATGACCTGAACATTTTCCTTTCAGTGTTTTGTTCTGTTTTATTCTTTAGGGATAGAAACCAAACATACAGTGTTTGCTATGTAACTTATTAAATTGTACAAACTCAAGGTAATGATTCGTGTTTTTAAATTGCATTAGACAAATAAATAATAGTTATGTTTATTACTGTCACTATCATTTGAAATTTTCCTTTATTTCTGACTCTAATTGGCTATGCAGCACAATACAAAGTTTCAAGTGGGCAAAGGCAGATTTTTTCATCTTTGTATCCCATGTATATTTTTTTCTGTCTTAATTGACCACCTTTTTTATATTGTTCAGAATGTGCTTAACGTTAGCTTGTTTTAAATGCCCTTTGGTTATAATAATTATGACTTAGGCTAAGATTACTCAACTCTTAATTCTTTATATTAGTGACTAGTAGTATTCAATGTTAATTCTTAATTTTCATAATTTTGCATGTGTTCTATGTCAGATGTTAACATTGGGTGAAACAGGGTAAAAGCATACAAGACCTTTGAATTATTTTTGTAATTTTTCTGAAAGTCTAAAATTATTCAGAATTGAAAAACTAAATTTTATAGTTTGATCTTAGGCATCAACAGGTAAATTAGTTAAGATATACTTTTTGGCTAATTGTAGCTTTGCCATTACTACCAAAATCACAGTAGGTAGGCATGATTCAAAAGTATTACTTCTGATTTTAGAAAGTTTGAAACATTGTAACAAGCTCCCAAAAGCCCATTAATGAGCACAGATAATTTTTTGTATATCAGTAAGTAGTCTTCTGTTCATGTACATGGATATGCATTTATAATTATAATGTTGCTTTACATAGTTTATAATTTGCTTTCTGAAATTGATTATAGCAGGTATTTTCCATGCCATTAAACAAATAATCTGTAATAATCTTTTGAATGACTGTATAGTATTCTGCTATACAACTCTGCCATAAACTTGCATATCAAACTTTGTAATATTGAATATGTTATTTGGTTTTTGTTTTTATACCTTTAAATATTACTTTGATCATCCTTGTAGTTTCATTTTTACACACACTGATGATTATTTGCTAAGAACTAATTGATTAATTCTTTGGTGTCAATTAGGAGTGAAAGATGTGTGCTTCACTTTTATAGTTTTCATATGTAATGTCCAGTTGCTCTGAGAGAGGTTGTACTAATTGATACTTCTATGCACAGTGGGTATGCATATCTCAACACTCTAGCTATGTATTATGCCTTTTTATTCATGTTTCCAGTCTAATATGTGATAATTTCTCATTGTTGGTTCAGTTTTTTCATAGTTATTGCTGAGTTAAAGTGTAATCTGCATGTATTCATTGACAATATTTAATGAATTTGCCTATTAATATTCTTTACCGGTTCCTTACTCATTTTCTTTTTATTTCTAGTTTACAACCATTATCAATTCATTAAAACATATCTTGAGGTCTAGATTTTTCCCTATATAATGTTTTATTTAATATTTTAATTTTTTAATGATTGTTTTATTTGGGAATAAATTTACAGAAAAGTTACTAAAGTATTACAGATATTCCTATATATAATTCACCAAGCTTTCCCTGATGTTAACATTTCATGTAAACAAGGCTTATTTGTCAAAATTAAAAAACTAATACTGTACTCATCAGTTATATTTCAACCAATAAATTAGTAACAAAATATGAAGAAACTGGCATTGGTACAATACTACTAACTAAATTACAAGCTTTATTTGACTTTTGTCAATTTTTCCATTCATGTTTTTTCTTTCACTGTCCATGTGGAGGGTACCACATTATTTTTAGTATTTTAATTTTGAATGACTGTATTAACGTATTTTAAAAACTAATAAAATTGCTGACTTTATATAAGTTGTGTACTTAATTTGCATATTAATTGAACTCCCACTTGTTTTTTATCACTTAACTGTTTATTGGGTTTTTTTTAAATCTTGTACTCATTTGGTTTTGATAGGTAGAAGTTTTAGAATATCTTATAATAAATTGTATGTTTTGTGTTCATAGTTTCTTGGCATATGTGCTTAGATAAGAATTCTTTAATATTAAATAAATGTTTGCGTGTATTTAAATTGTTTTCATTACTTAAGTAATTTCCTTAGTATTTATTTTGTTTTCTAAATTAAGGAATTTAATTCTTTTAGTTCTTTGACATCATTTATTAAACTGTTTTTGCTTCACTTCTATTACAAGTGGTACTTTTAATGTTGTGCTATAACTTTATACATGCTTGGACTTATTTCTGGACTGACTTCATTGTTTCTTTCATCTATTTTTTGGTGTGGTATGAACAGTCTTTTCAAAAGTATTTAATAGCTGGAAAGTACAAGTCACCTGTCCTATTTTATCATTCTCCGTGGCCAAAAATTCTTTTCAAAATTTTCTGGGCTGTTGTTTTTCAGTCTTCCAGCTAGGTCTTTTGACTAGAATTCATTCCTACAAATCCATTTTCTGGTTCAGTTTAAGGTGGAATTGATGTAATATTAAGTCATCCAATTCATCTGGGACACAGATTATCTCTCTGTTTGTATTTCTTTTGCTCTAAAGAGAGTTAACTTTGCTTTTTTGTTCAAAATAAGAGATTTTCAAAGTGTTTATGGTGTATTTTCATGGACCTTTTTGTCTTTCTTGTTTGTTTGGGTTTTTTTTAGGTTCTCTTTGGCAAAGTAAAGAAAATTCAGCCTTCAGTGGACAAAAACAAAATTTCTTTGGATCCTTCTCCTAACTTTGATTGCCATATGTCAAGAACTATACCTTCTCTGAAAGATACCATTGAGCTACAAGCCTACAGTTCAGTAGTATGTTAACTTTTTGGTTTCATTTCACTACTTGACCGTCACATGCTTCATATTGTAGGACTCGAGATCTAAAATGACCTACCAAAATATTAAATGCAAATTGTTTTTAATTCATCAATGAAATAATAATTTAGTGAAGCTGTTTTAATGTGATCTTGAAATGTTAGTAAAGCTTCTAGTTTTACATTTAACTTTGTACAGGGTACAGTGGCTGTATTTATTTACATATTCCATAGATTAATTCTTAACTTACAAAGCATACCAACTTCTCTATTAAAAAAGGCTATCTTGAAATGTTATTGGTCCTTTGTCCTTTGCAAAAAGAGAAAAGCCTTATATATTAATCATTGGGTAAAAACAGTAGTTTTCTATGTTGCTGAGACAATGAAATAGATCTTTAATCTTATTCTAAAGAAGTTAAATTATGTGATACATATCATATATTCATATAATGCTGAAATTAAGAAAAATCTTCTGGAAATACATATGTGCTCTCACATGTAAAATGAAACTATTTTTATTTTTCTGAATAACTTTGCCTGCCAAAGAAAGTACAGTATAGGGCCTCCCCAGTGGCACAGCGGGTTGAGCGCAGCGCTGTGAAGCTGTCTGCAGCCTCTGCAGTGCAGCCTCTGCAGCGCTGGTTCAATTCCCGACTCAGCCAGGGAGAAACCCACATGGCCTGGCAGACCTCTCCTGCCTTGCCCGCTGCTCCCCTCAGCAGTGTCTTCGGCCCATCTGCCTGTTCTGCTCCCCGCTCTGTCTCTGGTGAGTTATCTCACCGTCCCACGCCTCTGACCTGTGCCCCAGTTCTTGTATAAATAAATAAAATCTTTAAAAAAAAGAAAGTACAGTATAGTGGTTCACAGCATATGTAAAACATTGAACTTTTAATGGGAAAATCTTATTTAAAAACATTGTGAAAAAAATTTTAAAAATTCAGAACAGTATAGATCAAGTAAAATGTTATATATACAAATAAATAAAAATATAACATCTGTTTTTGCTGATGTTGGTAGCTTACTAAAGAAAATGTGGTGGGGAAAAAAATTCACGTATCTTCCCCAAAACTCAGGTTGGAGAAAAGGAGACACGTGAAAGCAAATGAATAAATAACATCATGCAATTTATATAGGTTTTTTTTAATATGAGCTTACTCAGGTACATCAGTGTAAACAATAATGTAAAAATAATCTTTCTTTATCTTTCAGGTATACTTGTATGAATACAATGTTCTTTCAAAACCAGTAGATAAACCTAGGCAGTGTCTTCCATATGCAATAGTAACAGTAAAATTTATTGGTCAAAAAATGGATAATGGACACCTTATGACATCTTTAAGATTCCTCTCAACAGGATTTCCTAAAAGGGCTGGTAAGATACTTACATTATTCTACTTAGAAGCATTTGTTCTGGTCTTACAACTTCTGAATATTATTTTAAAGATATGTGATATGTGAAGATGTATTATTTTTAATTTATGTTAATCTCTAAGTGCTTTACTTATTTTTGAGTTTATATATTTAGAATTATACTATAGGGCTTTTTGTAACTTCTTTTGGTCAGTATTATGTTTATGATTTCGTGTTAATATGTGTAACTATAGTTTATTCATTTTCATCCATCTGTATACATAGTCACATTATTCTACTTTGTAACTATACATTGTTCTGCCCCTCTAGGGATATTTGGACAAGTCCTAGTTTTTGTATGCAGACATTTCTCTTTTAAATATTCATATGTCTCAGCATATGAAGTTTTTCTGTATGTATCTATCTACATCATAAATGTGCAACTTAATCTAGAGGTTATGTCACATAGTTTTCAAAAGTGTTTGTGTCCATTTGCATAATTCTTCTACATGCACTTTTTAAAAAATGTTTCTGCCAACTGTTAAATGTGATGTGTTACCATTATCAACTCAGAAAAAATTCTGTACCTCTTGTGTTTTGTTTTTCATTTTATATATATTTTACATCATTCTTCCTTTTTTGTGCAATGCATACTTTCTCCTTTCAGGTGTAGTCCCCACAAAATTCCCATCACCAATTCACCTGTACGCGATCACCATAGTTCCTTGTGTAAGAAGACATCCCCTCCCCCTTTTGATCCCCTTCCCTCCCCCTCTCCTGCTGAGTGTCTCTGATTAATAGTTGCCTGTTAATTTTGTTTTTTAATTTATTATAATTTTTTTTTCCTGATCCCTTATTCGGTTCCCCTACATTCCTCCTATGAGTGAAACCATCTGATATTTTTCTTTATCCTTCTGGCTTATTTCACTAACCATAATCCCTTCCAGCTCCATCTATGTTGCTGCTAATGAAAAACTGTATCCTTTAAAAGCTATTCTTTTCTCCCCATGTCTCCTAGTGTTACAGTAGATAAGTAACAATATCCATTAGTCACATGTGGCTATTTGAATTATTTAAATTTAAATTAAAATTTTAATAGCCCAATTGCATTTAAAGTGTGATAGTGCAAATAAAGAACACTTCATATATGGTAGTAATTACTCTTGGGTGGTTTGCTTTATTGATTGCCGTTTCATTTTGTTACAGTTTCTTATAGAAGATGTTGGGTTTGTTTTCCGCTTTCTATTTGTTATTTGGTGAGATTGCCAAAAATGTGAATAAATTTACATTATACAATATAACCTAGTGATTAATGTTCTACTGCTTATAAGCTGTGATCCTTAGCAAATTACCTTTAATGTTCTTATTGATAAACTGAGAATGTTGTGGAGATGAAAGTACAGTAAATACTTTCAAAAACTGTGCCTGGAATCTAAACACTCTTGAAGTTTATTAACATTACATAGATATAGATATGCACTCACCAGACTTTCATGAAATTGCTATCATTAACCTTACGTGGTTTCTTTTCCCATGTTGGTGTGTATTACTGTATCTTAATCTTTGTAATAACTGCATAGCATTCTGTTTCTAAGGCATTTATTACAGCATAAGCAAATAATACTTTTACTGTTATAATTTTGATATGCTGTATTTACATAACCAGTCTTATATTGATAAACATTTAGGTTTCTAGTTTTCAGCATTCTTGGATTATTGAACTATAAAATTCTTATGACTTTGGTGTTTGTGCAAGTATATTAGAATAATAAATGAGCAAAAATGGATCTGAGGGGTATAGATTATTACACACTACATTTTAATGAATATCATTGGTTTACTTTCAAGGAAATTAGCATCAGTTTATGCACCCATGTAGAGCATGAAAGAGTGCTTACATCTGCAGAGTATTAATTATCCTTCAAATTCTTTGTCAATCTAAAACATTCTCATACGAATCGTACTGTTTGTTTAGTGGGGCTGGTTGAAACTTTTGTGTTTACTGGCAATTTTCCATTTAATCTGATTTTCTTGTTCATTTACTTTTGCCTACTTTTCCATTCTATGGTTCTTTACTAATCTTATAAAGATGTCTATATACTTTTTACATTTTTAATATATGTGTAATTATATATCGATAGTTTTATATACATATTATACACACAGTAAGCTTGTTTCATTTTAAATAAACTTTTTACAAATTTATCCTGTGTTTTAGTATGCATTTTGATTTTCTAAAATATTTAATTTATGTGTAATTAAAGCTATACCTTCACTTTTTCTTCCAATACTTTTATGGTTTTATTTTTACAATGAACTTTATTTTATTTTGATATAAGAAGATATAGAGATCCACCTGTCCATTTAGCTTCCACTCTTAATAATTACATGTCTATTTGTGGTCCTATTGCCACTGTAACTTTTCATTAAAAAATATAATTACAGAATTTAAAAGTCTACAACATAGTTATCCCTTCAGTATATTGTGAATAACCTCATGGTTCTTCCCAGTGATATGATTAAAACTTAATATATGTTGTAATCTTATAAACAATGTCTTCTCATTAATTTCTATTTTAGTTGAGGTTATTTATGGCATTAATTACTTATGAACATTTTACTTATTAACTTATTAACATTTTACTTACTAAATATGCATTTTTATAAGTTCCTTTGTTATTACATAAGTTCCTTGTGAAATTTTAGGAATATAATTTTATAAATCATAAAAGAAAAATTGCTTTTATATTCTCAGGTTTACTTATATATACATTATTTGCAGGAGTACTTACTATACAATAGAAGAAGTGCAGAAATTTGCCTTGTCCCCTGGAAGGGAATTTGTGGCTTTTTTTTTTTTTACCTTTTCTCCTCCTCTCTACCTCATTTTCCTTTCCTTTCCATATTTTTTCTTCCTATGATAAAGGGCAAAGAAGCAAAATAACAGTATGTAGAGAGAGCCAGTTTTGCCTACTAACATATAGATTCTGTTATTAAATATCTTAGTATATGAACTTATTTTAAATACTTCATTATGAGCAACATGCTTTTAATCCTATTTAATTTTTCTATTTCTTAATATTTGTCAGAAATAAAATTTTTATAGCAAATACTGCTTTTAGTAAGGACTAGCACTAAATTTCATGCAAAATCATTACATGTTATTGGTTTATTATTTATCCTCTTCTCTCCTTTTATTCTGCTAAGAACACATTGTAGTCATTAGGTTATTTGATAAGTTTTCAGTTAAAATCACTTCTGACACAGTTTACTTGTATTAATAGAGTTGTCTGTATTAAAACACCTTCTCTTCCTATTTTTCCTTATTTTCTTATTATTTTCACAGAAAGAACATGCTCTCTGAATAACTGTACAGTGGCCAAAAGAATTGGAAAAGGAAAAGATGCTACTGTCATTTTTGAGCATTTCAGGAAACCAGTAGATCCCTTTGTTCAAGAAAACTGTTCATGCAGTACACTAAATTTGGATATTAATCCTTCCAACTCAAATATTTCCCATTCCTATGGAAATGTGCAAAATGGAAACATTTCTATACTTGAAACATATAATGGAGAAATGGAACACAAGTTAACAGAATCTCAAGACACTTTTCAAGCACACACTTATGATTCAGGACTCTCATTTATTCCCAGTGATAACAAAGAAAGTGTTAATGGTGATCTCTTGTTAAATTTGACACAGCTTAAAAGTGTTTTAAGTAGTATTTCTGCTGCCTTTCCCCTTCAAAACAATATTGACTCAAGCACAGTCATTACTTCAAAACTCATCAAAGACCCAAGACTAATGAGGAGAGAAGAAAGCATGGGAAAACATCATAATTTTATAGGTTTAAAGGAGATTTTGCCATTTGAGAAAAATTTAGATTTTGTTAACTCAGAAATAAACCTATCATCTATGCCAACTAATTCTGCCTCCTCCTCTGAAGTAGTGCCTGAAGATCATGCTATTCTTACTAATTGTTTAGGCACTGCTTGCTTTAAAATTTCTTTTGATGATTCACAACCACAGGACTCTAAGAACAACAATTATACAACTGCCAATGAAATTACCATGGCACGACAATATGAAGACCAACATAATTTTTCCTTCCCAATGTGTTTGTCAAATGTAGTTTTAGAAAATGAGAATCAAAACTGCAATGATGGAAAAAAACAGAAATCCCAGCAGAGAAGCAGCAACCCACGTTTAATTGAACCAAATGGTAAACCTAATGACTGCTATGGGTCAGTGAACATGTGTATAAAAGGGAACAGTGGCAGCATCTCTCAGAAATCACAGACTTCTCATTTAAATCCTGCATATCAAACCAGCTACCAGATGTCTACATTATTTCCACTCCAAAGAAAAGAAAGTATAGATGAGTACATTCAAAATAGTGGAAAGATGAGAAACTTGACTGGCACAGAAGATATTTCCAAACACAGTGAAAAGCAAAATTTGTGGAAAGAAAATGATAATTATTTTACTAATGAAACAAAAATCAGTCCAGTAGATAGTTACATTTCACTACACGAAGAATACCAAAAAAATGAGGTTCTTGGTTCTTTGGGAGAAAATTGTGATCAAATATTAACTGCTGAAGAATTAAAAATACCACAGTTGCCTACATCTACCATAAAGGATAAGTATAAGGTAGATCCTCTAGCTTTGGAACTTCAAAATGATCTTACTCCACGAGTGGAGAGTCTTCAGCAAACGTATCCTCAGTCCTCTTTGGAATATGAAGATAGTATGCATATAAGTTTTGCCATTTCTCAGAAACTAATGAACCTGAAGTTGGAAAAATCAAATCAAAATTATGTTAGCATTATGAGTGATGCTTTCCAGGAAGGAAAAGGCAATCCCCAGGCCATAGAGCTAGCTGTTGATAAAGTTATTTCATCTCATGACATTAAAAGAGCTCATGGCAATTCAGATTACAGCATAATGAAAGAACATATATGGGTTCATAGGAAAAAGGCAAATGCACCAATGTCATTAGAGAACATTCAGAGAAACTGCAAAGAAGTTTCTCAAATGGATGATAAAGGTCAAAATCACACTCTGTTCTGTAATGCACAGTTGAACAGTGATACACACCTAAATGTTAATTTCAAAGAACAAATAGATAATGATAAAGAAAACCAAAATGAGACCAAAAAGAAAGACACTGCTTTGTCTAAAGAAAACAGCATAGAGAATATTTATGAAGAGGAGAAGCAGGATTGTCATATAAACCAAAATTTCACCAATATAGAGGAAAAGAATAAAACTTGCAGTAGTGTGGAAATTCTGAATTCTGAAGACTTTTCCACTACATTTAATTTAGCTTGGAAAAAATGTTTGCCAACAGAAACTACATTATTTGAAAGTGAAGATGTTGTCACTGTCATAAAACAAAAAGATACCCAGAATACTGGACAAAGTATAGAGCATATGTCTTCCACAACATTTCCTGAAATTGCAGTTTCTTCAGCATATGTTACCTCAAATGCTGCAGTACAGATAACTGGAACTGCAGTGCCTGCATTAAGTACAAATTGTGAAGATCACCAAGGACACCAGTTTGAAGAAACTTGTTCTTCTCAGAGTCCAGATTCAAGTTTGTTAATAAAACATAGGGTTTCTAATTGTGCAGTGGATATGGATATAAATGAATTATATGACTCATTTCCTCAATCACTAAATGACAACTTACTTCTTCAAAGTTTTGAAATTGAAAATGAGATTGAAATAGAGTCAGAAGTGTGTGATGATACTTTGCCATTTCAACAAGATACTCTTAGCCATGAAAATGTACTGTATGAAGAATATGAGGCTCTCAAGTCTCGTATTGATTGGGAAGGCCTATTTGGAAACAATGGGGAGACAGAAGTTTTTAAAAGTACCACAAAAAGGGAGAATAGTGATCAGCATTACTCTGAAGAAAGTAATTTGTTTTCTTCCTCCACACAGAAAAAGAAAGCAAACCCAATTTTACTTCCAGATCTACAAATTACTATTACTAATATATTTACACCAAGATCCAGTCCCACTGTTAATTCCCTTGCATTGAAAGATAATTTTTGCAAATACGTAACTGAAGCCTCAACACCAGCAATAAATGAGGAAGAGCAGAAAGTTCCAGGATTTGAAATTTATTCCCAGTGTTCTGGTGAAAATTCAGATTGTTCATGTGAAGAGAAGTTTGGTAATATAAGACAAGTGAGTGAATCTGAAACCCTTCTTTCTTCTGACTTGAGTCATAATACACACGTTAATCACATATCTAAAGAACAAAATGGTGGAACTTTGCTTACTGAACCTTCCAATGTCACAAGAATAAAGAATGAAAACAGATGTGACCCTACAGAGTCAAAAATTGATGGTAATGATACTGAAAATAAAAAGGACACACATTCAAGAAGTAACAAAAGAAAGCCACATACATCTTTTAAGGACCAGAACATACCACATAAAGATGTGAGACATCACGAGATTTGTGGGAAAAAGAGGAGGCTAACCTGTCAAGACTCATCTGAATGTTTTGCTTCTTTATCCCAAGGACGAATTAAAACCTTTTCACAATCAGAAAAGCACATTAGGTGTGTTCTGGATATTCTAAATAGTGAAGTATCTTTATGCAAAAGCAAACGCCTTTCCAGAAAACTTGACAGAGCTGTTCTACACCTAAAAAAAGCTCATAGAAGAGTTCACACGTCTTTGCAGCTAATAGCTAAAGTGGGAGAAAAAAGCAAGAGCCCATTACCAAAATCATATGCAATAATATGCAATAATTTCTGGGAAAGCTGTGATCTTCAAGGTTATAGTTCTGTGTCTGAAAGAAGATATTATTCCACTAAGCACTTTTTGTCAAAAAGAAAATATGACAAACCAGGAGAGAAAAGAGCTTTGGGATTTGAAGTTGATAAATCATTAACTCATGTATCAAAGCACAAGTTTTATAAAACAAATGGAGAGAGACTTAAAAAGTGTCTTCCTAAGAACAACCTGGCCAGAAGTCAAACCACTATTCATGTGAGAGAATTTTTTGATCAGATGTACTCTGAGTCACAGTTACCTCTCTGCTCCACATCACAGAGTACAAGTCAGTCTGCTTACAACAATGGAAGTGTGAAAAATACAGAATCCTTAGAACTCCAACCCTTTTCTGAAAAAACTGGGTGTCTCTTTTCCTCAGATTGTCCAGATGATAAACTAACAGAAAAAGAAAATCAAATTGATATGAAAGTTTTGTCTATCAGTAAATATGAAGAACTTGCAAACAATACAGCCTGCAATATTAATGATAAAACAAAAGAAAACAATTCTGAGACTATTGAAGTAATAAATAAAAATTCATTAAGTTGTACAAATGAAAACAGCGTAAGTTTTAGCACAGACAAAAATTGTGATACAACTTGTATAGCTCACACAAAAGTGAAAACTAATGTGCTTATTTCAGTCTTAGAACCAAATGTGAAGCACTTTTTAAATGTTGATATCTGCAAACCAGAAAACCTCATTTTGTCTGATTTTAAAAGAAATGTTGAAGTAGAAAAATCGGCAACTCCTATTGAGAGCCCCAAAGCAAGCATTATTACAGGAAACTTCATTATGGACCCAATAAATATAACTCTGATGACAAGCAAAATGTGTAGCAATATTCCTCAATTGTTACCAGCTGCTCCAGTGATAGATAGTAAGGGAGAATTCTCAAAACCTTACTTGGATGAACAGAGAATTTTTGCTATAGACTCATTTGTAGCATCCACTACTATACCACACTACCAGCAAGAATGCAGTGGACAAGAACTACTAAAGACAGAACAGTGCTCTTCAAGTGATTGCTTCCATGTAGACATGAATGAAACAAATGTTACTGAGAATTCCAAGTTGGATTTAACTCCAGTAACTGAAGAAAGTAAAAATTGTGGGAAAAATATAATGAAACTATTTTCCAATGATAGTTCTCTGCTGTTAAAAGATAATATAAAGGCTGGTTCTTCAAAAAAATGTATTGTAAAAAAACACATTCAAAACAGGAAAACATGGAAAGTTAAACAAACAGAAAAAGCAAAAAATTCAGTTGATGAAAGAAGCTTGATGGGAGCATCAAGCTGTTCAACTGTTAAGACTGAGTACAAAAAACAGAAGAATAAGATCTTAGAAGGTTATTCCTGCTTAAGTGAGACAACAGTTAAAAATAACTTGATTGATTCTCATCTAACCATAAAAAGTACAACTAAGACAGTTTCTTTCAATAACACAATTTCTAATTGTGAGAGAGAGGAGGATGTTAAAGTTAGCCATGACTCTTTGGTGGCCTCTACGATGCATTCAGAAACAGCATGTGATTCCAATCCAAGAATTGTAGAAATAAATCATATGCCTGTTTCACATGCCCACTCTGAAGCCTCTAAAGTTACTACTCAGAAGAGGCCTACAACACAAAAGAATGAGTTTAAAGAAAAACATTGCTCAGCTGATCATTCTGCTCTTGTAGCTAGGTTACCTCAAATTTTAAGGAGAGCGGATGAAGCGTCATCTTTGCAGATTCTGCAGGAAGAAACTAAGGTTTGTCAAAATATTCTCCCTTTATTTGTTGAAGCTTTTGAAAGAAAACAGGAATGTTCGTTTGAACAAACCTTGATTTCAAGAGAACTGTTGGTTGAGCAAAACCTATGGAGTAATTACAAACAGAAGTTAAAGCCATGTGCTGTTGACTCATTGGTAGAACTCCAAATGATGATGGAAACTATTCAGTTCATTGAGAACAAAAAAAGGCTCTTAGGAGGTGAACCAACATTCCGAAGTTTGCTTTGGTATGATGAGACATTGTACAGTGAGCTGCTTGGCAGACCTCGTGGATTTCAACAACAATCCAATTTCTATCCTGCTTTTCAAGGAAGGTTAAAATATAATGCATTCTGTGAGTTGCAGAGCTATCATGATCAACTAGCTGAATTGCTTGAAGAAACCAAAAGAGAAGACAATGCATACTATGCATTCTTAAAATACAGACGACAGATTGATGAGTGTGAAGCAATAATGAAGCATTGCTCTGATTGCTTTGACTTTACACTTTCGGTTCCATTTACCTGTGGAGTTAACTTTGGAGATAGTGTAGGAGACCTAGAAACTTTAAGAAAAAGTACTTTAAAACTGATCGGTATGCATAGGGACTCTCCTAAAGATGATTCCTATCCAGGAAAACAAGATCATCTGTGGATTATTATAGAAATGATCTCCTCAAAAGTTAACTTTATCAAGAACACTGAGGCAGTAAATATTAAAATATCTCTTTATGGTTTGGAACATATTTTTTTTGATGCTGCAAAAAGTCTTGTTTGGAAAGAGAAGCGACAATTGTTCAGCAAAAATTACCCAGGAAAGAAGAACAAAGAAATGCTGCTCAAAATGAATCAATGTGCTTTTTCAAAGTTGCAGATGATATATGATACATTGTCTAAAGATATAAGCAGTTGCAATAATGGGTTTAAGGAAAATACTATGATTGCTTCCAGAAAGTCAGATAACATTATAAACAAAGCAGCTGTTAGCCTGGAGAACTTTAGATTTAATAGTACTTTTTCACGCCCAGATATCTGTTGTATTAGTGAAATATTAGATCAGGCTGAACTTGCAGACTTTAAAAAATTAGAGGAACTCACTTCAAAATGTACTGATCACTTAGAAATTTTAAAAAAATATTTTCAAATGCTGCAAGAAGACAGCATAGAAAATATATTTATCACAGAAGAAAATGCTTTGGACGTGCTGGAAAACCACAGCCATGAGGCCATAACATTAAAACCTGCAGCCACTGAAACATATATTGAAATTGTCATGCTGTCAGAAGCAGTTCACTTTCTTAAAAACTCAATGGCAAAGAAACTAGGCAAGGAGAGGTTTCGAGGTATGCTTTGGTTTGATATATCACTTCTTCCTGATCTGGTTTGCTGCCAAGAAAGGATGACAACTTTTTCATTTCTTAAAGATAATTCAACAGATTGCCTTTGGAAAGTGATAGAAACTGCTATTTCTGAACTTAAGAAAGATCTAGATATTCTGTGCAAATATAATGAAGCTGTTAATTGCTCATATGCTCTTCGTTTGCTATCAAGAGAACTTGAAGAACTTTCAGAGATAAAAAAACTTGTAAAGAAGTCTGAGTATTCTGTTCCCACTTATATTGACTTTGTGCCATATATAACATCCATAAATTATGGAAACACTGTGACAGAATTAGACTACAACTACAATCAGTTTTCTACATTGCTCAAAAATGTAAAGGCTGCCCCTAGGAGAGATATAGGGAAAATGGCCCATATTATGAAAGTCATGAAAACTATTGAACGTATGAAGGTAATATGTGCTAGAGATGCTCAATTAACTATTTCCTTTGTCCTGTGCCAAATGCTACATAACGAAAGGAAGATTTTCCAAGTGAAAAGAAAAGAAAAAGTGAATGTTCATGTAAAACCTAGGCAGAGTCTTAGTAAATCAAGTACTTGTATGAAGGAACCCTGTAGTTCAGAGGGCATAGTGAAAAACGTTTTGAATTCTAAAAAACGACCTGTTGTAGAGAAATGTGAAGATACTCAGGAACAAGAGAAAAACATTGCTGTTTCCAGTTGTAAAAAACAAAAGGTAACATGTTCTTAAACAAAATCTGCATATTCTTTTTTTTTTTTTAGTTTTTTTTTTAAGATAGATTTATTTATTTATTTATTTATTTATTTATACAAGCACTGGGTACAGTCAGAAGTGCAGGAGGGTAAGAGAATTCACCAGAGTCAGAGCGGGGAGCAGAGCAGGCAGAAGGACTGAAGTACACTGCTGAGGGGAGCAGCAGGAGGCAGAAGAGGTCTGCGCACCATGTGGGACCCTCCTCCAGTGGCCAGGGAGCACCCGGGGATGGAACTGGCACTGCAGAGGCTGTGGGCAGCTTCGCAACCCAGCGCTTACCCGCTGTGCCACCGGGGAGGCCCAAAAATCTGCATATTCTTTTTAAGAGCAAGTCATTTTTTAAGCAGTTTGCAGAATTGTAATTGAGAATTATTTAAATATAACCTTGCATAATAAATTTACTAGCTGAAATATTTAGTAATTTACATTATCTATAAAATAAAAATGGTCCTAATATATGAGATACCTTGCAAATGTTTGTTTATAAATTATTTTAGAATATGTTTTTTAAACTATATGAATTGCAATAGATTAAAGGAAAGTCCAGCATTATGAATGTGAATTAAGTGAATAAACAAATACTTACTGAGTAGCGGTGTCCAATGTAGTGAATATTAAAAACTGGCTAATAGAGTCTTTGTCCTTGACCATTACCATGCACTTAGAGAAATAGAACAAATTCTTTTAAACATGATTATGGAGAAAAGTCCTACATAAATACATTTTATTTTAACATTGACTATATTTTTTTTTGAAGATTTTTTTTTAAAGATTTATTTATTTTATACAAGCACTGGGTACAGTCAGAAGTGTGGGAGGGTGAGAGGATTCACCAGAGCCAGAGCAGGGAACAGAACAGGCAGACAACAGAAATACACTGCTGGGGGGAGCAGTGGGCGCGGCAGGAGAGGTCTGTTGCGCCATGTGGGACCCTCACCAGCGGCCGGGGATGGAACCGGTGCTGCAGAGGCTACGGGCAGCTTTGCAGCCCAGCGCTCAACTGCTGCACCACCAGGGGAGGCCCTGACTATACTTTTTTAAAGATTGATTTATTTATACAAGAACTGGGGTACAGGCTAGGGGCACAGGAGGGTGATAGAATTCACCAGAGACAGAGTGGGGAACAGAACAGGCAGACTGATCAAAAACACTGCTGAGGGGAACAGTGGGTGAGACAGGAGAGGTCTGCCGCATCATGTGGGTATCTCCCTGTCCGGCCAGTAATTGAACCTGCACAACATTGACTATATTTAACAAATTTTACATAGTGTTAATTATGTACTTGGCACTGTTTTGACAATTCTACAGTCATTAACTCAATTTTTTTTAAACATTTATTTATGTATACAAGAACTGGGATGCAGGCCAGAGTTGCGGGGGATGAGAGGATTCACAAGAGACATAATGAGAACAGGCAGATCTACTGAAATACACTGCTGAAGGTTGTGGCAGGAGAGACAGGAGAGGTCTGCTGCGCCCTGGGGGTAGCTCCCTGGCCGGCCAGGGGATCCAACTCGTGCTGCAGAGGCTGCGGATAGTTTCACAGTGCAGCGCTTACCTCTTGTGCCACCAGGGAGTCCCTCATTAACAATTCTTAACAAAATTCTCATGATGTATGCAGGCATTGTAATCTTATTTAAAGGTATGGAAAGTGAGGCAGAGAAGGTTAAATAACTTCCCCGAGACCACAGAATTAATAAATGGGAGAGCCCAGATGTAAAAAAAAGTCTAGCTCCAGAGCCCATATAACAATTACCCTCTGCTCTGAGGCTTCTCTTAAAACTTTGCAAGAATTTCTGTTCTGAAGTAGACATACAAAGCCTATATGCAAAATAAAAAAGGATTATTTCTTGGTTCACTGCAATTGAGTGACTTAAGAATCAAGAGACTAAGTTAATCTCTTAAATTAATTCAGGAGACTAAGAATCTAGTCATTTATTGCACCGTATATTGGAAAATGCAATTTATAAACATACTTTAAACAAGATTACAAGTTGTGAGCCTCCCTGGTGGCACAGGCAGTTGAGCCTAGTGCTGTGAAGCTGTCCACAGCCTCTGCAGCATGGGTTCAAACCCTGCCAGCCAGGGAGCTACCCACATGGTGCGGCAGAACTCTCCTGTCTAACCCGCTGCTCCCCTCACCAGTGTATTTTGGTCAGTCTGCCTGTTCTGTACCCCGCTCTGTCTCTGGTGAATCCTCTCACTCTCCCCAACATCTGGCCTGTACACTGGTTCATGTATGCATGAATAAATAAATCTTTAAAAAAAAAACAAGAATACAAATTGTGTAGTCTACATTAAACACAATGATGATGATACTAAAAAAAAGTGTTGTAATTATTGAGAAGTAAAGAATAATTAAAAAATTAGATTGTCAGAAAAGGTTTATTGATTTCATGAAAGAACACAGACCAGTGCTTTGCCTTAATGAAAATGATTTTGGTAAAAATGAAAAGGGTATCTTAAGTTATGGAAATAATGTATACAAAGATAAATGCTTATTGGCTTTCTTTGAGAAATGAGTTTAAAATTTAAGTCTGGAGTAAAAAAACGCAGCAGACAAGAGTAAGCTAAAGATGGGGAATATTGTTTTATATTATAGAATGTCTTAAATAATAGGCCTATAGAGTTTGCACTTTGTTCTGTATATATTGAACGGTAGTCAGTGTACTGTGAAATGTAGGGTTTTTTTTGTAATTTAAAGAGTAAAGATTCTGAGTTGAGTCAGTGTAGTAAGTCATCTAGAGCACAGAAAAGGGTGCTGTTTTACAGAATAAGTAAGGAAAGTTAATACTTGACAGACATTATTTATAAGGGACTTAATGACTGGTTTACTGAAAAAGGTACAAAACAGGGAATAGTCATAAATGCACTCCATGATGTTAGAATAAAAAGAATGTTGCAGATTTCTTAAAAAAGGAAAAGTTCCTCCAAACATTTGTGATATATGTTAAGTCACTGGTTTTTGAAGGGATAAATATTAATGAATATAATTCAGTCTGTTTTAGTTAATTACAGAAATAAGTAACTGCACTTATCTAATATTAAGATAATAAATATATATTATAGTTTAAACTATCACCAATGAAAGTATTCTTTGTATCTTTTAAACATAGATTAACATGAAAGATGTCACAAAAATCAGCAGAGAAAAAGCAGTGTTCAAGCATCCAAGGTAGGAATTTCCATCAGTCCTATCTGAAGAGAAACTAAACTAAACACAACATAAAACTAAACATATTAAGGAACAAAAATAAAATATCTTTTATATATTGGATTGTTAGAAAACTCATGATGCATTTTTCTATGTTTTTCAAAGGTCTTTATGTAAAGAACAAAGATCAATGATGTATTGCCCATTTTGTTCGATAACCTTTTGCCATCTTTCAGTGAGCTTCCTAATTCCCTTTCTTAGAAGGACCTGTCTTCATAGATGAAACACTGAACAAGGTGCTGATTTACAGCTTCATCTGAATTGAACGTTATACCACACAAGGAGTTTTGAAGAGTGCAAAACAAGTAGAAGTCTCACAGTGCAAGGTCAGGAGAGTACAGTGGATACGGCAACACATCCCATCCAAGCTCCAATAATTTTACACAAGTTATCAAACTTGTGTGTGGTCTCGTGTTGTCATGATGGAACACAACTTTTTTATGATTACCAAGCTGTAGATGTTTCTGGATGATGGATTCATTCGAACTTTCTAATTGCCAACAATACACATTCGAATTGTTGGGTTCCTTGGTAGGAGCTTGAAAAACACAACACCTTTAAAATCCCATCACACTGACAGCATAACCTTCCTTTGACATGTCTGTTTTCAATGTCATTTGAGGCAAACCATCACATCAGGACCAAGACCGTTTTACACCACATTGATAATCTACTTCTCATCACCAGTTATCAGTCACTTCAAAAAAGGATCATTTTCTGGGCCTCTCTGGTGGCCTAGGGAATAAGTCTTAGCGCTATTACCCCTACAGCCCTAGTTCTATCCCAGCCATGGAGCTAACCTACATATGGGCACAGCAGACCCCTCCTGTCTTGCCCGCTGCACCCCTTAGCAATGTATTTCCATAAATTCATCTGTTCTCCCCATTCTGTGTCTGGTGAATCCTCTCACACACCCTTCTCCCCCTCCCCCCTGTGCCTTTGACCTACACACCAGTTCTTCTATGCAAAAAAAAAAAAAAAAAAAAAAAGTGATATTTGGGTCACGAGGAACCAAAATATTGAGCTTACTTACACATCCCAGTCTTTTCAGGTGGTCGTGAATGCTTAAATAATTGGTGTTCAATGTTTCTGCAGTCTCTCGTGTTGTGTAATGTGGGTTTGACAAGATCAGGTCTTTATTTTGTCATCAACAACCCCGGTGGCCTTCCTGACCAAGGAGCATTATTGAGATCAAAATCACCAGCATGGAATTTGTGAAGCATCATTAGCACTGACATTCTTGTAGAGCGATGTAACCATAAACTTCATGCCACTTTTCACAAGCTTGGCATACATTCTTCCCTTTATGGAAGTAAAGCAGTAATACATGGCAAAAATGCAGAGTTTGGATTGCCATCTTCAACTTGTAAAATCTCCAAAACTCAACCAAATTGCTCATTTTTTTGTTAGAATGAAGCTAGAACTGTCAACTGTCAAATGATTAGCAGTAACATAGGTGAGAATGACTAGTACTTCCAAAAACAAACTAGTACCATTGCTGCAAAATGCATCATGACTTTTCCGACAATGCAGTAACTGTTGGATCACACACGTAACTTAGGGGAAAGAGTAAGCTAAGGAGGGGGAAAAGGTCGTTTCAGTTTATGTATTCTCTTAAGTCCTGAGGAATTTGAACTTCATTCTGTAAGTATTGAAGAGTAATGTCCTGTGAAATGTGTTTTTTAATTATTTAAATGGTAAGGAGTTTCGAGTATAGTTAGCAGTAGTCAACCAGGACTTGGAAAAAAGTGATGTTTTACAAAATCAGTAAAGTTAATTTCATATATTTGACAGACATTAATAAAATAATTGATGGGGCTTAGTAACTGGTTCATGAAAAGGGGCATGAAAGAGTAAGACAAGTGATTGGAATCAGTTTTTTAAAACAATGGATTTTACAGACCAGCCAGATTTCAAAATTGTTTAAAAAGATAGAAATTGCTAACATTTATTACGAGTAAAAAATTAGTTACAGACACACATAAATATATTACTGTTTTATAGAAGGGTGCTTTAACATAACATTGGCTAATGTGATCTCAGAATAGACTAGTTCTTTAAAATGAATTATTTTCGTGGGAAAAATCACTACATTCTTACATTCTTATTTTGACATGAAAGTAGTCCTACTGGACTTGTTAACCTTATTCCATTGAACTGTAAGATTTTGAATTTGTGACAGACTTCTTTCCTTCTTTTTATAAAGAATAATGAAAAATGTGCAATAAAAAAGCATCCTCATTTTTTCTAACTTGGGTTTACTACTTTAAATACAACATTTTATTTACCACATTTCTAGAATCCTTTTCTTGGTACATAAGACTCTTTAAATAGTTGTGTACTGGCATAAAGGTGAATAGGCTAACATAAACCAGTTCTATAACCATCCTCGTTTTAGTGACTAAGTATAGGTGGAATTGCCAGTCAACAAATTAAACCTTTTCTCAGCAGAAAAATTACAGATACAGGGCACTATCTTCATGAAAGTATATCTAAATGCATAAAAGAATAATTCATGCAGGCAGCTGCCAGTCTGTAAAGTAGTGACATCACTGAAACAACACTGGAAATGTGATAAAGTCAAATTGTATAATTTGTAGAAACTCTTACCAAAGTATTACATGGCTTTGTATAATGTACGTTGTCATTTAAATTGCCTTTTTAGGAGGCTGAATTCAGTAAAATATGGGGCTTGTAGATTCAGGACATATAAAATCCCAAGCCAAAAATACTTTATTTTAACTGTGGAGAAATAGCGCTTATTTTTTCTTTTCAACATGTATTCAAAGTATTTGATAAGACCCTAAAAAATAATACCTTGGAAACCTATATTAACAACTCTCTAGACATTTTCATAATGGATATTTCCTTCAATCTGCTTGAGACTGTCTAAATTTAGGTAGGAATGACAAGGATATTAAATTGACAAAGTATTTAGGGAGTTTGATTTTCTTTTTAAAGTTGGACAAAATACCTTAGTGTGTTTTGTAATGATTGAAGCTGATCTTTTTTTTCTGCAGGGCAGAACCATGGTTTTTCAATTATTTACAAGAGAAAACTGAAGTAGGGAATTAAAAATGACAATTAAATAAGTTGGATAATGCTATTCCCCTCTACTGGGAAATATGTAAGGCAAATAACTTACAGTATTTGTAAGTTATTACAGTATTGAGAAATATATTTGAAATGTAGGGTATATCACCTTTAGCAGAAAACGTGACTACATTCAACCAATGAAGTAAAACTGGGAAAATATGTTACTTATCTACTGCCAATAGCAATAAAAAATGTAAATCTTCTCATGAATAAAAGTTTCAAAGATAGATTTATGCTAATATTTTGTGACCGTATATTTAAAGATATTTGTATGTATGTGTTTCACTTAATAGAAATACAAAATCTCATCCTGGAAGTGAAAATGAAGTAAGACCAAATTCATGTGATAATCAGGAAAAAAGTCATATATCTCCAAAAATGGTTCAAATACAAAGATCACCACCTGGCTCACTTTTACCTTTAAGGAACTTGAAAGACATTTGTACATCAAATTCAGAGAACAAAATAGATTTGACTAAGACTTCATCGGATACTTCAGAAGATTTTACCAGTCAACAGGGAAACTTAAATAGTATAAAGAAAAGAAATGTAAATTTTAGTGTTGCTGAGACAAAAAGTGATAAAAAAGATGATTATTCTTTGTCAGTTTATAACAAAAAATGTGTAGATGGCACATTTTCTAAAATCCATGAGGCACCTTCACAGAAACTTCTCAAGAATTGTCCAGGTCCTACAGAGAAAACATGTCCCTCATACAGGAAACCAGAAATTGATCCTTCTCTTTTGTCTAATGCAACAGTGCCTTCCAAGCCTGTTTTCCATTTCGTAAAGGATATCCATGCCAATTTAGAAGTGAATGACACTGTCTTTGAACTGCAGGATAATGAAATATTAAATTCATCTTTTAAAAATTCTGCATGCACCAGTCCTCCAGAATCCATATTTATTCAGAACAAAGTTCCGACTTTGCAAATAAATAAAACACAGCCTGCAGAAACTGAGTCAAAAGAAAAATATATTAAGGATACACTGAATTCCAGTACTCTGTCCATTGGAGCAGCTGAAAACACTTTTTTTGGACGCAATAACGAAAATTCAGTAACTCAGAATGCTGCTGTATATTGGAATGAACTGCCACAGTTTTCATGTACCCCAACATATAATTCTTCTGAGCATTCATTTGGAACGTCATATCCTTACTATGCTTGGTGTGTTTATCATTATAGCAGCAGCAGTGGCAATTCCATTACTCAGACATACCAGGGGATAACATCATATGAAGTACAGCCATCACCACCTGGGATGTTGACTACAGTTGCAAGTGTACAGAACACACATTCTAATCTTTTATACTCTCAATATTTTGGTTACTTTTCTGGAGAATCACAAGCAAATGACTTTGTGCCAGGCAATGGGTACTTTCAATCTCAAATGCCTGTTTCTTACAATTTTCAGCAACCCATTTTTTCACAGTGTGCTTCCCATCAACCATTACCACAAGCTGCATATCCTTATTCTCCTGATTCAGGTGTGCTTCCAGAAGTTCCTTGGACGTATGGTAAGTTTCACAAGTTTCAATGCTTGGTTCACTGAGTTTTTACTTTTATCTTTATATATTTTTGTAAATAGATTTATAAGCAATGTTATAGTGCATTCATTTTTTCCTTGAAGATTTGTAGAATTGTTCAAATATCAAGCAGAGTTCAGTCATATTGTCAGGCAGAAATCTAGTTATCAAAGACTGAAAATAAAAAGAATTGATAATACCACCACTGTATTCTTGAATGAAGCCTAACATTTTGGGAAATAGATAACTAAATTATAGTTAATCCATATCATGAAGTATGATGCAATCATTAAAGCATTTGTAAAAGTTTTTAATAACAGCTTTTAAAACTATACCTTACAAGTTCATCTTTGAAAGTGAAAAATACAAATACTGAGGGCCTCCCCGGTGGCGCAGCGGTTGAGCGCTGGGTTGCGAAGCTGCCCGCGGCCTCTGCAGCGCGGGTTCGATCCCCGGTTGCTCCCCGGCCACTGGAGGAGGGTCCCACATGGCGCGCAGACCTCTCCTGCCGCCCGCTGCTCCCCTCAGCAGTGTACTTCGGTCCTTCTGCCTTCTCTGCTCCCTGCTCTGGCTCTGGTGAATTCTCTCACGCTCCCGCGCTTCTGACTGTACCCAATGCATGTATAAACAAAACAAACAAACAAACAAATAAATAAATAAAACATGCCTCTATAAAAAAAAAAAAATCATCTTTTAAAAAAAAAAACAATCTGAAGGAAAGCAGTAAAGGAAGAAAGAAAGAAGCAAGAGAGTGGATATGAGAATATATGACTGCTTTTTCCTTTTAATTAATTTTATTTATTACTACTGCTGCTGCTGCAATTACAGACATATCAAGCATAGCAGATGTGGCAAACCTGCGAATTAAAAAAAGGCATTTTAATTTCAAAGATAAGAAATTTTAGTGTAATTGTTTTATAAAGCTTGTCATGGTTTGCATTTGAGCTTTTTTTATGTTTCTAATAATTAAATGTAATGCTAAAAAAGATAGCTCTGGGATTAAGTCTAGATTTGACTCTCCAAAACTTGTAATTCTTACCTCCTTGATTATAGTATTCAAATGGAAATAAAAAGTTATCTACTTATAGTAACCAGAAATAACTTTAAATAAACACACCTTGTAGTTTTCATGAATGCATATAATCCATAGAGATCACAAAAACTGCATCCTTATAAAAATGTGAAAATCCCTACAACCGTTTTGATTTCTTGATCATAATCTTTGTATTCAGCACCATAAATGGTACTAAAGGAAGGTGCTAAGTGAACCTATAAGTAAAGCACATTACATCTTTTACTTCATTTAATTCTCACAAGATACTTGAGAGAGATGGAAAGATATTACTGTTCTTTATCAGACCAGTAACTACTCTAGAGAGCCTTAAATAACTTTCTCAGCATCCCATGCCTAGTATAGGATAGTTGTACAACTAGAAAACTTTGATCCCTCTGTCTCTAACTTAATTCAGTTCTTCCTACTATACTGTTATGAACCATTAGTCTACATAATTAACTTATCTTAAATCTTTGTGGGTTTTCTCCTTCCAGCTCCATGGCAACAAGAACCCTTTCAGCCAGGACATTGAAAATAGTCTTCTGTCTACTGAAATAAAGGAGATCTAACAAGTTTTTTCAAGTATTTTTTACTTACATTTTTTTATTTTAACATTTTTTAATATATGTAAATGTGGTAGGGAATATAAACCTTGAGAACTTTTTATAAACTGTTTAGCTGCAATGCTATATCATGTAATGCAATAGAAAATCAATTTCTGATACCCAAATACCAGAATTATTTTCACGTAATCATTTGAGTGAACTGTACTAGGCTATTTTCACTACCTACCTGGCCATCAGAAACATTAACAATATTTTGAAATTCATTTTTTGAATTGTTACTATACAGCTATTACAATTAGATACTGATTTCTTTGGGATTATTTTAATAGAAAAAGGTGAGTAAATGTCGCATTTAATATAAAGTTTAAAGAACAGTAGTAAAATCTTTAAAATGAAGATTTCTGTTTCTATTATTGTGCCACTTAAAGTAAGTTTTTTTTAATTGGGATTGGTCATTAGACCAATCATTTCATCATTCTTGATATTTATATTCGTATTACTTGTAATTCGGTGTCTAACATAACAAATTTCTTTAATTTCAATATTTTCTAATTTTCACTTCTAAAGTATATTTTAATAGAGAACTTGGTTTTCCTATTTTCAGCATTTCTCCTTGCTGAAGCTTTTTTAAAAGTTTTATACTGAAAGCAACTTTAGATTATTATATTGGGATTAAAGCACATTTAACACCTTTTTCCTTGAGAGCCTTTTCCTTAAGATTATTTCTTTTGTATTTGTATTACACAATTTAAACAGTTCTTTTAATTTTTGGTAACTTAAATAATAAAGGTTAGAATCTTTAGCTAATGCTGTAGGTTTAGTCTTATTTTAATAATTTAAATAATGCCCCACAAATGCAAATTGATTGTTTGGTTTCTTAGTCTCACTGAAAGTAGTTGAAATTGCTGTTTTTTCCAAATACAAGTTTTTTTAATCCTGTGGACATAGATCCCCCCCCCTTTTCAGCATTAAAGAAAAGTGAAAAAACACTGTAGTAATAATCATCATAGAAAAATGGGTATACTTTGTAACTGTGCCTTGAGCAACCTCTCTGCGTCAACTATTTCTGTCCCAGTGAGAAGGATCCCTCAGAGCTGAATAGACCTTTTTTCAAGTGCTAGGGGACCCTAAAAAGTGACAAGATATTTGCATTGAATTTAGAAGATTTAGCTAAGATAGCAAAATTTCATTATTTTCTTAAACTTTTTATGTTAGCAAACATCTTATATATATAAAAACAGGCAGTTAATGAGAGTGTAATTCAGTCAAATTTGTAGAGTAACTAAGTTTTCAGTTTAGAGAAACGTTAAGAATCCCAGAGATACATACCCCTGTTTAGTCACATTAAGCAAAATGGATGGAATTCAGAGTACTTAGAGTTCTTCACTAACAAATCTTTGAAAGAGAAAAATCAAAGAACTGCAATTGAAAGAAATAAGGAATTTTTAAAAGACTATATAGATTAAAACAGTATCAATATATATATATTGGCTGACATAATTGTTTTATTTGCAAATAGTCTAAAACTTAGAATTCTGCAACAGGTATTTTAAAGCAGTAATATTAGGTGTTCAAAAAATGACCTTGTCTCAGCTATTTAATATATTTTGGATATGGAAAGATGTTATAAATTTATTACTAAAAATGTTTCTGGTAGGTAAACCAAAAGTTAAGCATTCTAATTGAAAATTTTCTTTAAACAACTTCCAGATTCTGTCTTCATGGTATTTTTGTTTCATGAGTTTTCATTTCTTCTCCAAAAGAGTAAAAACAGAAATCTTACTTAAATACTGTTATATTGAAAATTTTTCACTTTGAAACGGAACATGGAAAAAATGGAATATTTTCTTTTTCACCCCTTCAAGTAGTTTTGATTCTAAAATAAAAATTAAACAAATTAAAATTTCATCAAATATTATAAACAAACCTGTTTATTTGTAAATATTGTTTGGGAACTTAAAGAAGAATTATCTGAATAAACTGAATTCCTTCTAGTTGTTTTTTTTTTCCTTTTGTGTTTCTTGACTAATGCGCATGTTTCTATAGACAGTGCTTGGTTTACACATGTCCATTACATGAAAAACATCCCTCAAAGACTAGCGTCATTAGATGACAAAATAAACTGCTGGAGCTCCTTTCATTCCAGCTGCTTTGCCTTAATCACCTCCCTTGTTTTTTCCTGTTACAAACTTCATTACTTCCTGGAGTTCAGTGGGACAAGCCAGAGTCTTGTCCTCATGTTCTCATTCCAGCCAGAGACACAGTAAACACGTAAGTAATTTCACAGCATGAAAAGTGATATGTAAGCAAAGCAATAGGTAGAGAATGACAAGGTGATACATACACTGAGAGGTTCAGGGAAAATCTCTTTGAGGAGGTAATCAAACTAACTGATTTTCTTATATCTTAATTATACCATTGTTTCTTCATTATACATAAAGTAAAAGTACCTCTAAAACTTGAGTTGTGCATCTAACCAATGAAGCTATACCCCTTTTTCCCAATGAGATTTCCTCGAAAGTTTTTTTGATAAAACTAAAATATATAAACATGTAGAGTTACATATGAAATGTTTAAATGTCAATCATATGTTAGAAAAATATTTTAAAGTTTTTTGCTGAACTCATTTTTAGAACAGTTACATTCAATGACCTCTCATGCATCTTTGACATTATCTTTGTCATCTTTAGAGCCTTTTTGAGTCCTGTAACAGTTTTCCAAAGCATGTCATCCCTATTTGTAAGTTGTTTGAGATATATGCATTTTGAATCTGTGTACATATCCAAAACTTTTTTTTTTAGTTATTAACCATCAATGATTTTTTTTCTTTTTTTGAAGATTTATTCATTTATGCACACAAGAACTGGGGTACAGGCCAGAGGCACAGGTCGGGCGGGGGAGGGGGTTTGAGAGGACCCACCAGAGACAAGAATGGGGAACAGAACAGGCAGATCTACTGAAATACACCGCTGAGGGGAGCAGTGGGCTAGCCAGGAGAGGTCTGCTGGGCTATGCGGGCCGCTCCCTGGCTGGGGGAGCGAACCCATGCTGCAGTGGCTGCGGACAGCGTCATAGGCTGCATCTCAAACCCCAGCGCCACCAGGGAGGCCACCAAAATTTTTTTTTTTTTGGTGGGACCCTTGCCGGTGGCCGGGGATCGAACTGGCGCTGTAGAGGCTGTGGGCAGCCTCACCACCCAGCACTCAACCGCTGCGACACCAGGGGAGGCCCCAAACTATTTTTGATAGAGGTCATTCCGGACTAATTTCTTCCCCAAAGACTTTCCTTAAAGTAAGGTTTTCTGTTAACACTCCAAATGCTTAATGCTTTTTAATTGTGTTATTCTTTTTTTTTTTTTTTTTTTTATAGAGGCATGTTTTTATTTATTTATTTATTATATTTGTTTGTTTTGTTTATACATGCACTGGGTACAGTCAGAAGCGCGGGAGGGTGAGAGAATTCACCAGAGCCAGAGCGGGGAGCAGAGCAGGCAGAAGGACTGAAGTACACTGCTGAGGGGAGCAGCGGGTGGCAGGAGAGGTCTGCGCACCATGTGGGATCCTCCTCCGGTGGCCGGGGAGCAGCCGGGGATCGAACCGGCGCCGCAGAGGCCGCGGGCAGCTTCGCAACCCAGCGCTCAACCGCTGCGCCACCGGGGAGGCCCTAATTGTGTTATTCTAAGGAGAAAATAACTACCAGGAATATGTGATATTTTAAAACTATTAAGATTTTTATACAGGCATTGTTTGATTTCAACTCATACAATATTTGAGTACCCCAATTATCCATGCAGTTTGAAAAACAATTTAAGTGATGAAAATTAAATTTTCCTACAAAATATTTTATTAAATTTATTTAATAAATTTACATCATTGTTCATTTTTGTATAATATTTGATTTCTCCCCAGGTGGTGTCCCCATAGTTCTCCCACCACCATAGCTTCCATGATCCATCACCATATTCCCTAATGCTCCTCTCTCCCTTGTTTTGATCCCTTCTCCTCTCTTACTGTATGCCTTAGCTCTATGGTCAGCTTGCAAGTTTTGTCTTTTCCTAACCCTCTGTTCAGTTTCTCTGTATTCCACATATAAGTGAAACCTCTGATATTTATCTTTTTCCTTCTGACTTCACTTAGCATAATCCCTTCCAGCTCCATCCATTTACAGATTCAATGTATTCTGATACATTTCAGTGACATTCTTCAAAGAAATGGAACAAATATTGCTGAAATTCATATGGAATAGCCAAAGATGATCTGACTACAAAGCCAGAATAATAAAAAGAGCATGTAACTGGGAACAAAAAATAAGAATTTTTTTAAATTAGTTCTGATGAATACAATTCTAAGAACAGTGATGGTGAACTCCTAGTCAGTAATTGCTAATGAAACTGAGAAGGTAAGGGGTTGTTGAATACTAATATAATGTGGAAGTAAGTTTTAAAAGAACTAGTTAAAGATTAAGACTAGAAAATATTGTAAAGATATAAATCCTCTACATCTCTTGGAGTGTAAACTCTGCTTCAGCTTTGTTATTACCATCTTCTGAATCTTAGAACCATTGAAGAATGTCCTTTTGTTATAGGACAGGGAGAGGGGCAGCCCAAACCCCGCAAACCTGCCTATTCTAAATGGGTTCTGCCATCCGCCGCATCAACACAAAACATATGAGACTTTAATGGGAAGGAATTTTAATAAAACTAGGAAATAATACAGGTAAGGCAAAGAGTCTAGTTTCTAAATGAAGCACCCAAAGTTACCTGTCCCCTCATGGGTAAAACTCCATCCAAATGGGATTGGTCCAGAACAAGACCCTAAAGCCTGCCACAAGTCTAAAGCATCTTCCAGTGGGGACCCACAGAAAAGGGTCAGAAACAACCAGACAAGCCCAGAAGGAAAAGAGCAAAATCAACATCAAGATAAAAGCTGCCATTGTCACCACCCCACGGGTCTCACCCACATCTGTGTCACCCAGTCCACGACCAAAAGACAAGCGCAGTTTCTTCACGTGTCTCTAGGCTCCATGCACCTACTCCAGGTCTCCTGGCTCCATCCTGCTTCCTTCCTCAGTCCCTTCTGCAGCTTCTCCTCTCCCTGCTCAGCTCCACCCTCTCTTGGGTGGGACAGGGAACCTCCCCCTTTCCTGGTACCACCCTGTTACACTTTGAAATGTCCTGTGGAACTTTTAGTCTTAAAATATACTACATTCTAATTTCTTTTAAAAAAATTGAGGATGGTTTCTTAATGAATATGTATTTTTGTAAAGATTTATTTATTTATTTATACAAGCACTGGGCAGAGTCAGAAGCGCGGGAGGGTGAGAGAATTCACCAGAGACAGAGTGGAGAGCAGAACAGACAGAACGCATTGCTGAGGGGAGCAGCGGGCAAAGCAGGAGAGGTCCACTGCGCCATGTGGGACCCTCACCCGGTGGCCGGGGGTCTAACCGGCGCTGCAGAGGCTGCGGGCAGCTTCGCAACCCAGCGCTCAACTGCTGCGCCACCAAGGAGGCCCCTTAATGGATATTTTTTATGATTTAAAGAATTTAGCAAAGCAGTCAATTTACTGACTTTTTTCCAGAACATGTAATTTTAAGAAGTACTTGCTTGTAAAGGTGAATTGTATTTTGTTCTTAATTACCTTTAAACACCTGTAATTAAAAATAGATTTCCAGGGGCCTTCCCGGAGGCACAGCTGTTGAGCGCTAGGTTGCGAAGCTGCCCACAGCCTCTGCTGCGCTGGTTCGATTCCCGGCTGCACCCCAGCCACCGGAGGAGGGTGCCACAAGGCGCACAGACCTCTCCTGCCGCACCCACCGCTCCCCTCAGCAGTGTACCTCGGTCCTTCTGCCTGCTCTGCTCCCCGCTCTGGCTCTGGTGAATTCTCTCACCCTCCCGCGCTTCTGACTGTACCCAGTGCTTGTACAAATAAATAAATAAATCTTTAAAAAAATATAATTAAAAAATTTATTTTTAAAATTTAAAAATATAATTTAAAATAGATTTCCAGGGCCTCCCCTAGTGGCGCAGCGGTTGAGCGCTGGGCTGCAAGGCTGCCGGCAGCCTCTGCAGCGCCGGATGGTTCCCTGGCCGCTGGCGAGGGTCCCACAAAAAAATAAATAAATAAAAATAAATTTCCATTTAATAGTTCTCCCTTCGAGCTAATGATATTTATATTATTTCGCTTCTTAAGTCTCAAATTTTATTTTTTTTATTGAGTCAACATTGGTTAACAATGCTGTATAAGGTTACACCCTTCAGGTATTTGTAACCACAGAACTACAGCACTCCCACCACTGTAACTAAATAATCCAGTCAAAAAATGCGCAGAAGAGCTAAAAAGAAACTTCTCTGAAGAGGAAATGCAAATGGCCAACAGGCATACGAAAAAATGTTCAACGTCACTTGTAATCAGGGAAATGCAAATCAAAACTACCATGAGAGGGGCCTCCCTGGTGGCGCAGCGGTTGAGCGCTGGGTTGCGAAGCTGCCGGCGACCTCTGCGGCGCCGGTTCGATCCCCGGCTGCTCCCCGGCCACTGGAGGAGGGTCCCACATGGCGCGCAGACCTCTCCTGCCGCCCGCTGCTCCCCTCAGCAGTGTACTTCGGTCCTTCTGCCTGCTCTGCTCCCCGCTCTGGCTCTGGTGAATTCTCTCACCCTCCCGAGCTTCTGACTGCACCCAGTGCATGTATAAACAAAAAACGAACAAACAAAACAAACAAACAAATAAATAAATAAATGCCTCTATTAAAAAAAAAAAAATTAAAAAAAAAAACTACCATGAGATACCATCTTACACCAGTGAGAATGGCACATATTAAAAAAACTAGCAACAACAAATGTTGGCGAGAGTGTGGAGAAAAAGGAACTCTTCTGCACTGTTGGAGTGCAAACTGGTCCAACCACTATGGAGAGCTGTGTGGAGATTTCTTCACCTACTAAACACAGAGCTTCCATATGATCCAG